CTCCTGTTCACCGGGTTGCTAAGATTCTTGTGCTGGTCAGAATACTGCTTCTTGGTGTTTCTTCTGGTTTACAAGACTCATAGGGTGGCTGGTTCAGTTATAAATGGTCTCTGACTTATCAATTAAAAGTCACAGCTTGCAGCAAGTGCTGAAGGAAAGATAAACTGGTGTTTTCTTCTTAGCCTAAAGAGACTTCTATTGCAAAGAACAGAAAGAGAGAGAGAGAGACCTGAACTGGGGAAAGCATGGTTGCATTCTCGTTCACAGTCCCAAGCTTCTCATCTACCTGGAGTTCCTAGGAGCGACAGTAACCAACAATCTATCCTTGACTTCCCACAATGACATGACGGTCAAGAGGACACAAAAACGGCTCTTCTTCCTCAGGTGGTTTAGGAAATTTGGCATATCCATAAGGACCCTCACCAACTCTTAAAGATGCATCATTGAAAGCAACCTATCCAAGTGCACAATGGCTTGGTACAGCAACTGCTCAACCTGTAAGAAACTACAGAAAGTTGTGTTCACAGCCCCGACTATCATAGACTTCAACTCCCATGCATGGATTCCATCTACACTTCTCGTTGCTGGGGAAAGTCTGTCAACATCATCAAAGAACCCCTCCCATCCCAATAATGCTGTCTTCCAACTTCTTCTTTTAGGCAGAAGATACAGAAGCTCGAACACACACATCAACAGGTTCTTTCCTGCTGTTATTAGACTGCTGAATTGATCTCTCTAATTTGAAATAATGTTGATCTTGCTAATGTTGATCCTGCTTTGTGCACCTCTTGTGCAGCTGTAACCTTGTAAACCTTGCTCTGTAAAGCACTCCGTAATCTGTATGTCCATGTTTGCTCTGATCTGCCTGTACTGCTTGCAAAACAAAGTTTTTCACTGTACTTAGCAAATCAACGATTCATATAGTTGTTGGCAAGCTGAAGTCCCAGTCACTAGTTCACAAACCAAATCATCTTCTAGTTGCCAACCAGAGCTCCATTTATAAACAATGCTTTGGCTGCAACTCATCTACACACTACAATTCAATTATTGCTCGAATGAGCAGTTGTGTAAATGATATTTGCAGTGAGTATCTCAAAACATATAACAATCATTGGTTTGTTATACAGTTCTTTTCTCCATTCATGCCTCAATTGAAAACACAGAAAAATAAAAAGACGTGGTCTTTACAAAAGCATAAAAGATGGACTGAGTAGCTCTTGCATTGGGCTGGGCCTTGCCAACTTCTTGTCCAATTCTGCCACACATCTCACCATAGCCCATTGTGCTTACACTCTGATAAGATCTCACTCAGTGACTTTTCCTCTTTGAACTCAGTGAAATGAAAGGCACAGGAAATAACATCAGACTGTAGAAGTTGAAAATCAGTAGGTTCATTTTTATATCAGTATCAAGGTAATTTCCATTATTTCCATCCTTCCTGTGACTGTAACAGCAATTGTTAAAGACTAACATACCTTTTTGTTTTGCAGTTGTCTTCATTTTGTTTTGACTTTTGATTGTTGACATTTGCAGTTCTAATACAATGCATTATTTTCAATTGATCTGGTCATTGCATAAACGTTCAATCACACAAAGGTATGTATTTGTTTCGTTACGTCCATTTGGTGTAATAGCCATTAATGTAATGTCGTTCTGCACCAAAATAGCTTGCAGTTTGTATTCTCAACTTGTGTAGTTTTAATTCTGGTATCAAAAGCAGATACCTTTTGGTTATCACAACAAATTTATGCTATCCTGTACTGACAGATGAAATCTGTTAAGCCTTCACTGTTCATAACATATCTTCAGTGAGTTTAAGGAACATGGGAATATAATGAGGCAAATTTCCATGCATCTGCACTTTCAATTTAACCATCAATTACAGATTAACAACATGACTATCAGAGATTTCGCTTTATAAAAATGTGCTTGTTGCTGCCAGGCCACTTAAATGTTGGTTTGTGTGACATTAAGCTGCAGATGTAAAATGATGGCAGAAATTTGAGTTATTGCAGCCACCCAATTTAATCCATAAAATGATAAATGTCAGTGAAAATAATCTTAAGTAAACCAATTAAACCAATTTTTTGAGGGCGGAGCAGTGCTATTGTCACTGGACTAGTATTCCAGAGCTGATCTAAAGAAGAGTCGCAGGACTGGAAATGTTAACTCTGTTTTCTCTCCAGATATTGTCTGACCTGCAGAGTTTTTCCCGGGAATTCCTGTTTCTGTGTTTGAGAACTCTGGCATCTGCAGATATTTGTTTTATTTTAGTAATCCAGACCCCCAGGTTAATGTTCTTGGCTCCCGAGTTTGAATCCCACCATAAGAAATAGTGAAAATTTGCGTTCAATAAAACCTGGAGTTAAAAGCTAAATCCAGCTGTGACTGTGTAACTGCTGACGACTGTTAATTGTTGTAAAATCCCATTGGCATCCTTTATGGAAGGAAACCTTCAGAAATATATTTGACTTTTAACTGTCTCCTTGGCAATTAGGAATGCGTAATAAATGTTGGCCAAGTCAGCGCCACCCACATCTTGTGGAGTAATTAAAATAAGTTGAGCTGGAAACTGCACAAACTGATTGACACACCAATCATGTTGCCCTGTATCATTGGCTTTGATGGGATAGAAAGAGCCTCTTCCTCAAATACTCCACAAAAACATAGTGCGCTTGCCCCCAATCTGGTGCTCGCAATGACTTGAGATAACAAGGTGTAGAGCTGGATGAACACAGCAGGCCAAGCAGAATCAGAGGAGCAGGAAGGCTGACGGAAGGGTCTAGGCCTGAAACGTCAGCCTTCCTGCTCCTCTGATGCTGCTTGGCCTGCTGTGTTCATCCAGCTCTATACCTGATTATCTCAGATTCTCCAGCATCTGCAGTTCCTACTATCTCTCGCAATGACAATGCTTTCAGCAGGAAAATGATACATGGTTGATCGCATGGTACTGTGTTCTTACCCTTAGAAAGCCGCTTCTTATCTAATTTAGTGCAGATGGAACTCTTTAAGATACACAAATAACTCTCAAAGTCTCAACTTGTATCCTTTAAGTGTTAAGAACGCCTGTAGTCAAAACAAATTGTATTGGAGTTTTCAAATTTCTAGGAGTCAAGTGTCCTCATTGCCCAAATCCTTTTCAAAACTCAGATCTATTTGCATCTTGTTTTTTTTAGGGTATATGAGAATTAATAAGTTAAATTCCAACGATGAAAAATGTTACAGAAGATTCATCCCTCTACAAGTGTATTATTTAATGCAATGATTGTACTGAACGTTTTACTTTTCGTTATGGTAAATCCTTGAGATCAGGTGCAATGGGAATGTCTGCTTGGCAATAATAAAAAGAATCAAATGGCCCAAACCACCTCTTGTCGATTTTCTTCTCCCCTAAGATGATTTCCAATATCCCTAAATCTTTCAGTACTTAAAATGTGACATAAAACACATTCAGTTGCTGCAAAATTTTCACAGTCCACTAAATTTTACATTACTTTAATATCTGCAAATTAATACTGTCAAGAATATCCTGATTAGCAATGTCTGGCTGTAAAACAGCTGCATAATTCTTCGGTGAGCCTCATTGCTACTGAAGTTAACTAAAAAGAAAGACTAAGTCATTCTTTCACACTTTAGTTCATTGGAATTTCAGTCAGTCCTCAAAAGTGGATAAGCCACTACCTTTGTAAAACAGGCAATTATTAATAATGGCTTCAAGGATTAGTTATTAAATTTCCCTTAGAAATGACTTCATTGTTTTTTACACTTCCAACATAATTTATTTTTTTAACTAAACTCACAATCTGTTTTTCACATGAGTACTAAGACAGAGTTTCATTCGTGTACTGACGATTATATGTGGTAAACAGAGTCTCTGCTCATGTTATGAGCTTTATAGAAATTCCTCCAGTTGACTTGCACTGTAGCAACTCACCAAGGGTTCCTTGACAGCACCTTTGGAACTTGTGACCTCTACCGCTTAGAAACAAAAACGCAGAAGGGGAATGGGACCCAGGTCTTGCTCTACGACACACACATCCTGACGTGTGCAAATGGTCCCTCATTGCCAAAAGGAGAGAAGGAGTCAAGGAGTCAAACCTTTTTGTCTTGCACACACAAGCAACAGGTGAGAAAAGGAACACCAATTTATTCGGCTTGGGAAAATTGGTTGGACTGTTGTTGGCATGGAGATACAGCAAGGCCAATATTCAGGCAGTCACTACTTTCCTTTCACTTTTCTCATTTTTAGTTTTGAACTGTGCATTGAAGTTGAGATTAAACTTTGGACAGCAGCTTGTTTTTAAGACCGAGGAGATGACAAAAGACAAATGCAGGTTAATTACTGCTCTACCAATACTGTAGAAGATTAAGCACTGAGGTGCTGTGATAGTCGGGGACTGACAGCTGGGTGGATGTTGAATTATTAAATCAAGGGAGAACAGGCCAGTCAACCACAGAAAATGATGAAAAAGAAAGAAAAGAAGAAAAAGAATGAACTGGCTGACTTGGTTTCCGAGAAACTTCTGAGAAACAGACTCCAGTCTGTGAGGGAATGTCCAAAATGGCAGCAGAATTGGGCTCCTGAGCCCAGAACTCGCCTGCACTTCTTCTCATTTCTCTTCATTCTCATTTTTTTCTCTCCCTTACTTACCTTTTGTACCTCTGGTCCTTTGTGTGAAGAGCTCAGGTGACATCGGCAGCCGGGCGTTATCCCAGCCACAGACTCGTGGTGGAAGAGAGAGACCTTGCTTACTCTTCCAGGGTGCGCGCGGGAACCGGAATTAACGGCTGCCATATCGACGGAGGCGATGTCGACTAGGTAGGCTCAGCAGTGAAAGATGGCGCCTGAGGACTGGAGACTTTGTCGGTGGTTGGGTCCGGCGCGGGAGGTGGCGACGCAGTGACGGTTGGGCATCACGGTGACAACAAAGAGGTGGGCCACGTGTTGTGTCGTGTTGTGACTCCGCCATTGGTGGGTCTGGTGCAGGCGGTGACGCAGTGGTGGCTCTGAGCTGGCTCAGGACTCACGGAGCAGGCGGTGGAAAGTAGATGGCTCAGAGATAGTAGGAACTGCAGATGTTGGAGAATCCGAGACAACAAGGTGCAGGGCTGGATGAACACAGCAGGCCAAGCAGCATCATAGGAGCAGAGAGGCTGACGTTTCGGGCCTAGACCCTTCATCAGGAAAGTAGATGGCTTTCTCTTTAAGCTGCAGTCGGTACTGATATTAGGCGATAGTTCCGTTCTCGTGTGATCTTGCGTTACAGGAATATCGCGCAATTGCTGCGCCATTTAAACTAATGGGGCCGGAATCGTATTATAGCCAACACAGGTAAGGAAAGTTCACATTCTACAAATAGCGGTCTAAATTCTTCAATCGCGTTAAAACCAACTTGCATTGAAGAAACACGCGTTTTGGCAGAAGTGGCTGTATATCCGTTCTTAAACGATTCAAAATGGTGCCAGATTGTGGCAATGAATGAAAGTTTTTCACTGTATTTTACTGAGTTTCTCAGTGTAAAATACACGTGACAATAAAAGTCATTCAAAGAAATAAGATAAAAGTCTTCAGAGATCCACAGCAGCTGTTTGCATTGACTAGTGTCTTCATAACTCACATAAGATACAATCCATCACCAAAGGATTTCATGAAGGCCTGCTATTCATCATTGAAATAGTTATCCAACTGCCAAACTCTGATAACTGTATTTTCTTTCTAATTTATTACTCAACTTTGTTTATCTGTCTATCAATGTGTGAGTGGGGGTGTTTGATCAAAGATAATTGGCCTTAGGTTGTAAATATTAATTGGAGTACTTCTCAATGATTTCTCAATTTGTGTTCAGCTAAAGTTACATTCTTAATAATTAATCATCAAGTTTTGTCTAAATTATAAACTTGGTGTCCAAGATCTGTTATTTGTAAAATTTAGTTAGGAACAATTGAGCAATTTTGAGGGTCATTGAATGTTTTAATTTCATAGTGCTGCAAATCCAGTGATAATGAGGCTGAGATAACAAGGTGTAGAGCTGGATGAACACAGCAGGCCAAGCAGCATCAGAGGAGCCGGAAGGCTGACGTTTTGGACCTAGACCCTTCTTCAGAATTATGAGGCTGATTTGATTTGGCTTGCTATCCCTATGTCATAACCTAGTTAACTGTCAACCTTAGTTCTCATACCTGGCAAGTAGACTCTGATTGATCAACGTGTTGTCAATGGGAACGCAGCAGAGATAACAAGTCTGCGTTACCCCTTTCTCTCAATGTGTAGCTTGCAATGTGCACAACTTCAGCACAGTGAGAGCCTAATTGACAATCTCAAGTATGTTTCTGTTTATTTCTTAGCCTAACCAGATTAAAGAATAAATGATGCCTAATAGCAGAATCACATCCATTTGTGAACATGCTGTCCTGAGGCTAGCTGAGAATGATAGGTGTCCTATCTGCTGTGAATGGTCAACAGGATGTGTTGTTGGATATGGTCTGCCTGTCTTTGGGAGTGACTGCCTACATCTTCACACTGGCACTGAACCTCATATATAAAATCATTCATTTTATGGTATATTAAATGGCTTTTTGCTTTAATGGCAGCATCTTATTAGTGGAGAAAACCACCTAGTGGGCTTATTACAATGTAGCAGCGTGTGACAGCTAGTTTCACATTTTGTTCAAATGCTTGAAAAACCTTCTCCATTCAAGGTAGTGTGAAATAGACTGGACACTGTTCAGAGCTAAAAGAAGCACAGTATGTATAGGTGCTTTCATGCAGGATAGTTTTGATACAGCTGATCTCAATACCAACCTTACATAGTGAGCAGATATCTAGGGGCCTTTTCAGAAGGTTGCTGATAAGATTGATCTTGTAGACCATGGACCTGTGGAAATCCTAATGCATAGTGAATGTAGGCTTTTGGTAGATAGTAGCTGAGAACTCGTTGCAGATTTCTCAACTAATATATCAAGGAAAGGAAGCTCGTTTGATTGCTCCATTTCCGTGGAAAGACTGAACACAGGATGATGTTTATTAAGAAATTCTTTAACACAGCTGCAAATTCAAATATTACAGACATGACATCTATGTTTCAGAAGTAGGCAAGGGGTAGAAGGTTTATAGTCATTCCATCAAAGAGACACTTTTCATCATAATCAACAAAGACCAAGAGATGAACCTAGACGGGATCCTATTGCAACACCATCTGTTTGGCCATACAAAGTGTAATTTAAACAGAACTCAACTGCACAAGTTGCTAATTTCTTGAGGTCGATTAATGCAGATTCAGGCACCAGTGGCACATCTCGACAGTCATGCTATAGTGACATAGTGAAAATTCTAATGGGTTTCTTCAGTGGTACAATGCTAAATAAGCCAACAATGCTGAAAGAGCACATGGACATGCCATTGCTTTTAATATATTGACCCTTTATGTCCTTTGTAAAGTGAAGGAATTCTTCAATGTATCTGGGAAAAATATTTAAAACTGGTGGCAACAGCTCACACAACCATATGATCAATTCATGTTATGCGGAGCCATTTTTAGTTAGAACACTGTATAAAGGGACATCACTTTTGGGTAGCCCATAGTTGTGTGGATACTGTGACCCATGAGGTCAAATCCTTCAGTGTGGCTGTTCAGACATGTAGTGGAAGACGTATACATCTTTATATATTATATCAAGACATATATGGATATACATGCTCAAAAAGAGTGTAATAACATTTCTGTATAGGTTGATTAGAAAACATTTTGTTGTAGAAGTTTGAAACATAGCTGGACGTGGCATGTATTTCATTGATGTAGTCGTATTTGTTGAATATGATTACTCCAGTCCACTGTCAGGTCTACTTGACTGTGCATCAGACTTTGCCCTGAGATTATAACACTATCTGTTATTCATATTGTGAATAAAAATCAGTGGAGTCATTAGGCCTTCCATCATGTACGTGTGCCAGATCTGCTAGGCTTGCTTTCAGGGCTTCAGTTAGTGTGATGCATTTGCACTTGTTTGAAGCCGCATATATTTATACAAAAGATGCTATTTTATGTAGGCAATAGGAATTCATATCCTCATTGTGCTTGTTCCATTGCAAAAACTAAAAGGATCATGAAGACTGCCAATCTCATGATTGCATCAGAATCTACCACCTGCTTTGAGAACTCAGATCGACAGTTAATTGTTCAGGTGAGCATAGAAGCAGAAAAAGACTCTTCAGCCCCTTGAGCCAGCTTTAACATTCAGTAAATTAGTGGCTGATTTCTGTTTCAAATTCCACATTCTCTTCTACCCCGGAAAACACCTGCCTCACAAGAATATATTCACCTTTATCTTTAAAAAAATACCCTAACCTCGCCTCCAGTGCCTGCTGAGGCTGAGAGTTCCAAAGGCACACAACCCTTAGAGAGCAAATAATTCTTTTCATCATCCTTAAGGAGGGGTGAGCCTTAACTTTTAGAAAGTCGCCCTGAGTTCTGGACTGACGCATAAGAGGAAACATCCTTTCCATATTCACCAGTGTCAAAGTGATTCAGGATCTTATACACTTCAGTCAGGTCACCTCCCAGCCTTCTAATCTCCAGTAGAAACAAATCCAGTCTGCCCAACCTTCTGTCATAAAACAACACTTTCCTGCTCCCAGTAAGGCCCAATCAGTCATCAACCTTTTCTCATATTGTATAAATAGGTGTTCGTTTTACCAAAATGTTTCTTGTGTTCTAGTCCTGATGGGTGTAAGATTAAAAAAAAAAGCTTTGACTTCTGGTCTTCTTTTAGAACTGTTGAAGCTCTGTCTTATGAAGCAATATTCATCTTTCCTCATTATTGCTGGGTCAAAATCCTGAAATTTCCTTCCTCACAATACTGTGGGATGTACTTGCAGCGCATGGACTACAGTGGCTCATGAAGACCCTGCCAAGAACTCCCTGCCACCTTCTCAAGGGAGCTTAGTAGTGGGTGATATATATGCATATTGCCAACAGCGTATACATCTCAAAATATGAATATACAATTTGTGCACACATCACATTACCTGTGAACAGTATTCAGAAGGATAAGTGTTTTACTTTTCCTAACCCCTTGTTCCCACCAGACCTCCAACATCACCACCTGTCAAAGCCTCTCCTGCTAATCTAGTTATGGTCTAGACCCGAAACGTCAGCTTTCCTGCTCCTCTGATGCAGCTTGGCCTGCTGTGTTCATCCAGCTCTGCACCTTGTTATCTCAGATTCTCCAGCATCTGCAGTTCCTACTATCTATGAAATCTAAGTTGTCTGCTTAAAACCTCCTAAGTGCTGCACAGTAGACTTGTGAGGAAAGTTACTGGTCATTGTATAAAAGGGTGAGTAACAATGTGGATGCACAATTGTTTGAGTGATGAAAAATAGACTAATAGTCAACAGATATTTTTCAGGCTGTAGGAAGATTTATAAACGGACAAATGAATTGCTTAGACAGTTGTCCTCATATGAGTTCATGAGTTCTTGCATCCTACAATAAAATGTAAAGATGCGTTAAAGGGGATGCTCTTAAAAATCGAACCGAAACCTTAATAGCAGGTCTGTGAATTGACAGTAATCAGTTAAGATGTTGCTTGAGTGTTTTGAGAGACTGCCCTTTGCATTAATGGATTTTTCTGACCCCCAGCTGCAGAAAGAGAAGGAAAATAATAGTTAAGAAGACAAGTGAAGGCATTATGAATCATAATCAAAGTAAAAATGGCCTCAGTGTTGGACTTATCTTAAATTTTCTTCTGCAGTCATTAAAATGTTTTGCTACCATATGACAGTCCTTGTAGCAGGAAAGTTTGCACTGGCTGATCTGTCACCATCCTTTGTACTTTGTTATGGAGCCTCACCTCCTGGCTCTGCCTTCAGCCAACAACACCTCCATCGATACATCAGTGGAAATCTTCCTACTTTTCTTTCATCTGACTGTGGATTTTTAATGGCTGCACCAGAATGAGTTACTTCTCTGTCAGAGACAACAAGGTGCAGGGCTGGATGAACACAGCAGGCCAAGCAGCATCATAGGAGCAGAAAGGCTGACGTTTCGGGCCTAGACCCTTAATCAGAAAAGGGGGAGGGGAAGAGGGCTCTGAAATAAATAGGGAGAGAGTGGGAGGCAGATAGAAGATGGATAGAGGAGAGGATAGGTGGAGAGGAAACAAACAGGTCGAAGAGGCGGGGATGGGGCCAGTAAAGGTGAGTGTAGGTGGGGAGGTAGGGAGGGGATAGGTCAGTCCAGGGAGGACGGACAGGTCAAGGGGGCGGGATGAGGTTAGTCGGTAGGAGATGGGGGTGCAGCTTGAGGTGGGAGGAGGGGATAGGTGGGAGGAAGAACAGGTTAGGGAGGCGGGGACGAGCTGGACTGGTTTTGGGATGCGGTAGGGGCAGGGGAGATTTTGAAGGTTGTGAAATCCACATTGATACCATTGGGCTGCAGGGTTCCCAAGCGGAATATGAGTTGCTGTTCCTGCAACCTTCGGGTGACATCGTTATGGCACTGCAGGAGGCCCAGGATGGACATGTCGTCTGAGGAATGGGAGGGGGAGTTGAAATGGTTCGCGACTGGGAGGTGCAGTTGTTTGTTGCGAACCGAGCGTAAGTGTTCTGCAAAGCAGTCCCCGAGTCTCCGCTTGGTTTCCCCGATGTAGAGGAAGCCACACCGGGTACAGCGGATGCAGTATACCACATTGGCAGATGTGCAGGTGAACATCTGCTTGATGTGGAAAGTCTTCTTGGGGCCTGAGATGGGGGTGAGGGAGGAGGTATGGAGGCAGGTGTAGCACTTCCTGCGGTTGCAGGGAAAAGTGCCGGGTGTGGTGGAGCTGGAGGGGAGTGTGGAGCGGACAAGGGAGTCACGGAAAGAGTGGTCCCTCCGGAAAGCAGATAAGGATGGGGAGGGAAAGATGTCTTTGGTGGTGGGTCGGATTGCAGATGGCGGAAGTGTAGGAGGATGAAGGGGTGGATCCAGAGATTGGTAGGGTGGTACATGAGGATGAGGGGGATTCTTTTTTGGTTCTTATTGCATGGACGGGGTGTGAGGGATGAGTTGCAGGAGATGTGGTCGAGAACGTCCTCAACCGTGTCTCCCACATCTCCTGC